CTGGTCACCAACTCCAGCTCAAATGAAATGAGCTGGTCACCAGCTCCAGCTCAAATGAAAAAGAACTGTTCAGACAGTTACAACTCACTGAGCGGAACTGGAGTTGTCACATACCTAGTCAGGAAGTGCAGTTTGGATTTGAATAGTAAGTTTTTCTTTAATAAAATACTTAATTTTAAATTTGTCCTTTCGACGAACAGATGAAGTAAAACATACTCTACAAATTAGGCAGTTGGCTGGCGCGCTAGCTCATATAATAAGAAACGTATAAGCTTAGAAATTTTGGTCAGAAAAAACAAAAGGATTGTGGATGTGATCGAATGCGTACATTGCCAGTATTTTGTCGATATCTCGGGCAGTTTTCATTGCTCAGACTTTATGTTTTTTCCACAAGATTCGCCATGAGATCCTGTACAAAACGGTATAGTCTAGTAAACCAAAACGCCTTTGGTCGTTGCTGAAGCACAACTTCTCTGAACAACTGTATTACGCAAAACTTTATACTTTGTTCAGTTTTTTAGAGAACATTTATACTCTCAAAGTACTAGGACTTGACGGTGTATTGGTGTAGGTATAGATGTGAATGCGGGGTTAACTATTGGTGGGGGTAATGATGCGGATCAGCATGGGGTTTTAAGTCATATATCATCCTCTTCCAAACACGCATACCCATCGACACCGATACAGACGCTGCACCCACTCTCAAGGTTAAACTGCTATTTTCTCGTTTCGTCGAGTTAAGTCAGATATATTTAGAGCTCATGTTGAGACTGAAGGGTGTGGGTGTGGAATGTGGATGTAGGATGTCTGTATAGGAAAAGAAGAGATCTACAAGCGTGTGTGAGCGTAGGTGTTGGTAGTGGCTTAACCAGAAAACACTCGGTAGAAAAGGGATGGGTGTGAGTGTGAGCGGGTATGCATGTGTGTGGGCGTGAGTAGATGGGTGTGGTGAGTAGTATGTGGAGAAAATCTTGTATTTCTTTCAGACTCACATCCACTCTCAAAAGAGCAACAACATGGTTTTGAATGATGTATGTATGTAATAGTCAAAAATCCTGTATGATATAATATTTGATATCGTGTAAGAAATCGCTACCTTTTTCCGATGGCAATGACCCCCATATTGATCCTTTGGCTTTCACTGTGGTCACACCACAATCATTTCCATTGACCATAAAAGTTCTCAGAGATCGTCTCTTATCTTGATTTGTATCACCAGGGTTGGGCTTAGTAGTACGGTCGATCAGTTCTCCAAACGATGGAACATCACTATCCACTTTATGACCTGTGTTAGCACTTTGAATGCTCGTTTGCCTTTCAGAAAGTAATGGAGACCGCGGACAAGTTTTCTGAATTTGAGCCTTGGCACCAACGAAGTCTTCATGTGCGTGTTGTTCCAGTTTATCAATACTTTGTCGAGAGCATCTGAGAATGGCTATGTTGAATGTACCCTGAACTTTGTATTCTTTTGTTGAGCTCGTTGATGAGTCCGTCTGGTACAAACTGAACTCGTAATTACATGACCAAATAGTTTTCGTCGTTCCGAAATTATCGATATGACTAATACGATTTGCTACCATGCACGGCGTGCCTAGTGGTACTGCACAAAGTTGCGGTACAGTCTCGATGCAGTGATCAGCAAGGGCGTTCCCAATCCTTTGTCTGGCTGCTACAGATTGCAGTTCATTCGACAGGCTTTGTTCGGCGCTGCCACTTATCGCGTTGATGGCCTCACGATTATTTTCTCGAAAAACCACAGGTTTAAAGGAAACCGATCCCACTTTGCCTTTCAAATCCAAAAACGTTGCAGTGCTTTCGAGCTCTTCCGTCAGCAGTTGATAAACACATGGATACTGCTCAGAAATGACACTAGTAACGCCAGCGTTGTTAAATGCTTGCTCAGTACAAGGTGTTCCAAAAGTGTCTGAGAGAAAAAATTGTAAATAGGTCTTGAATTAATGGAAGGAGTATGTAGATGAAATTTGGTCCACAAAGAGGTCGAATGATTCTTAGAATGCCGTAAAAGTTTCAGCGAAAAACGGATGGTCCTTTTCTAAGATACTCAGGTTCCAAGATATTGAAGTTTTTTCTATGAGGGTGTTGGTGTGGGCTAGGATCGGAATGGGTTTGGGTAGGTGTGGATGTTGGAGAGTGGGTGAAACCTTGTATTCAATTGAGACTGACATCCACATCATATCCTAAGTCACACTCAAATCTACATTCACTCTCTTTTGTAACTCTTTAGGTAGAGCTTTTGCTCCATCATTTCTAACTTCGTTTCTGCTAAGATCCATCACTTTCAATGTCTGAACAAAAGAACACAACATCTACGTATCTGATAGGAAGGAATTTGTATGGCAAGCTATATCCTTTGACACTGACGTCCTCAAGAATCTGTCAGAGAGCAAGATTTAAATTATATAACTAGGAGAATCATTATATTACGCGAGACTGCGATCTCATTAAAAACAGACATACCTGCTTCAGGCCGAGGTTCAGTTTCTGGTGGTGGTTGATATAACATTGTTAGAGGTATCGACACAGTCGATGCACTGGTTGCAGGATAATCTGATTTGTCAGACTCTGAACGAAAAAAAAACACGATGATCTTCGTTTATGGTCGTAAGATTTGGGATGGGGATGGGTATATCCTGTGGGATCCACGCTCACACCCTAACACATCCACACCCACAAGATGGTTGTTCGATAAATCATTCCTGATCTAACTAGCACATTGGGCATATATTTAGTTGGAGCCTGACCAAATTTTTGTCAAATCAATATCAGAACAATGAATATCGGTTATCGATTGTAGGACAAACAGAGAATCGATCTATATGCGCGACGCTTGAACCACTCGCAGTTTGAAGCACACATCAATTCACGACCATCTAGTATGCAGCAAAATTGACATATATATCGAACTTTTGATCGCATAGCCAATATCAGACATTCACTATCTACGAGTACCAATTCATCATCCTTAGATTAAGAAATGATACACGATAGTGAAGATCATTATTTATTTGAGAAATCCTCCAACAATTCTTGGAATTCAATACGCCTCATTAACAACAATCGATAACATCGTCACTAGTTAGTCAGTTTTCAATCGGTCAAACAACTAATAAAGCACGTGAACGAATTATATCAAGTGCAATTAAATCGGGTACAATATGCTGTCAACAAGGCATTGCTGAAACTAGAATATTTTCAGGTGTGAAAAATAAGGGTACAGAAATATGACTAAGTTGTGTGTATGAAGTTATCGAACAGTAAGAATTCGGTGTGGATTAGTTCATGTCTGTCTGACGAGGAAACATCCCCAACTGTCGAATCGCTTTTGAGTTAGGGTTCCGTGCATAAAGTAGATCCTAGTGAGGTATGAAAAATCCCAAAAGGATAAGTACCCATGGGCCTCCTGTCTTGATTTATAGGCAATACACTGAAATTTTGTCCTGTGATATGGTGTATATAAATAAATCGAACGACGGTATTTGGACCTGAGATTTTGCCCACAGAGAGGTATATATGTGACTAGAATACCCTGAAAATTTCAGCTGAAAAGAACGTTTCTTTCTCCAGATACCAAAAACTCAAAAAATCACTCATATCTCACAAAAGATACTAGAATTTTCTGTTTTTTGAGATTTTAATATTACGAGAAAGAAACGTTCTTTTTAGCTGAAATTTTCAGGGTATTCTAGTCACATATATACCTCTCTGTGGGCAAAATCTCAGGTCCAAATACCGTCGTTCGATTTATTTATATACACCATATCACAGGACAAAATTTCAGTGTATTGCCTATAAATCAAGACAGGAGGCCCATGGGTACTTATCCTTTTGGGATTTTTCATACCTCACTAGGATCTACTTTATGCACGGAACCCTAACTCAAAAGCGATTCGACAGTTGGGGATGTTCTCTCGTGAGTGAAAAGAGGATATACACGTACACCAACGCCTCGACATGCACCGAACTCAAACCGATTGAGTTTGATGCGGTTGGAGGTTTGAGTTTCGGTTTGGTTTAGGTATAAATGTGGATTTAGATTTGGATGTGGCTTCGGTATCAAAATTTTCGATATCTGACTGAAATTCAAACCTACATCTAAACTAAAGCCGAAATTCCGAAACCGTTTGAATTTGGTGCATGTCTATTCACACGCAAACATACCCACGAACAGACAAGACTGTGAGATGAGTAATACATACTGACTTTGATTGATCGCAAATTACTTGTTGTTCTCTCTTTTTGACGTATGTGTGGCAAATGATTTCTCTTAGTGGAGTAAAGAAATGCGTGGAAGACAACCGATTTAAGAATTATAGACAAAGTTGAATGGAGTTCTTCTTATATCGACGTCGAAAGAGCGGGTAGCAAAGAGAATAATCTAAGTTGATAAGAACTACTTGTTTTTTTCCAACTGTTAATAATATTATTCATCTTGAAAGGGTTTATTTTCTGTTTGTTAGAGATAAGAGAAGCCCTCATATATGCGTCCGAGATAATGCTACACTATAGAAAGAAACTAAAAAAATGATTCATTCTCTCTTTCTACTTTGCAATAATAAACAGTGCCTTTCTTTAGTCATGTAAATTTCAAAAAAGAAGTAAGCTTTCATAGGGTGTCAGTCGGTGGTTGTGGGTGAGAGCTGACTCTGTTCCATCGCCAACACACACTCGCACCGACCCTCACCGAACAACCTCATCCCACACCCTCGTTTTTCGCAACCATCGATTTAAAACAGAAATCAGTTGTAACTATCACACTAATAGTAACTAACAAATAGAAGCAGTTTGAAACGTGGGCGTCTCCAGTAGCTCGTTTTCCTGAATGAATAAATTTCTTCAACTACAACATGTTTCATAAAAGATGTACAAAGTATAAATATTTTATGATGCTTTCTATTTCAAGTAAAAAACTTGAATAGTATTGTCGATTATCTTTTCATAACATAAAATTATAATAACTGACTTCTAAAAGAATTACTTTATCTGATTATTTGAAATAATCATTCGCTCATTTATAGAAATAGGTAAAAAAGTACTTCGCCCTTCATTTTATGTTTCGTCTTAAAAAATACATTCATTTCTCGACAAATATATCTATAGGTCATCTATAATGAACAGTAAAACATGAACTACAATTTTCATTACTTCGAACAATTCTCTAATAAACTAAAATAGTCCATTCGTTTTTTTTAATTTTTCTTTCTAAATTCGTACTATACATTATTTTACAGGATTCCAACGTCTTAAATTATAAAAACAATTTTAGGAAATTTTAGCCATTTACTTATCTATTTTATAATTGTTTTTCACCAAATATACATTATGAAAAAATCGAAATCGATCATTGAAATTTTACTACACTCGCATCCCCCTCCCAAGCGACTGAAACCGGAGATCTTTTTCATTTGAGCATTTCATGTTTATTTCAATAAAGATCTTTGTATAACAAGAGAAATTTAGAGAAAAAAAATATTCATTCCTATTATAAAAAAAAAAGGTTAGTGTTTTTCACAGAGACATAAACGAGCATAAGGAGCACCAATAGTAGTGCCGCTCCCACCAATCGAAAGACCAAAAGAAAAAGAACAACCAATATGACCAGTAATACGATTAGTACAGGTTGCATCAATACGTTTCTCTAAAAGATTGGAAGCGCCTTTCCGCCAGCGATCCTCATCCACCTTTCTCCAATTTTTGTAATTGCAGATCCAATTCCATGTTTCTTGATCACCATTAAAATGCCAATCACGACATTTGTGACACTTCGTACAAGGACGACCTTTACAAGGAAGTTGCTCACATGCTTCAGGTACAGCAAATTCTTGAGATTCTAAATGAAAATATTAGAAAGCTACAAAATATGGACCATAGGACGAGTAGTCGAGATTGTAGATAATTAGGTTCAGAAGTTTTTAGCATTGTATAATTTGAGAATCATCGACATTTTTCAATCATGAGAATTTTAAAATAGTAAGGAATGAGGGTGAGTGTGAGTTTTTGAACGTATAGAATAGACAGATATAGGGGATCAGTTCAAATGTACTAGTCGCAAAAGTCAAAATTAGAATGAATAGAACTATTAACCGCGCTTTAGTCTTAAATATACTTGGTGAACTATACGAGCATGCTCATCAGACTTTGCTTTCTTTGATCTCCGCCGCGAATGGAAAAAATAGTTTTTCTATAATTAATGAGATAGACTTACGTGGTCGTTGAGCTGTCTCTCGATCGACTTTCTCCTTTGTCTCTCGGTCGGCATGCATATCGGCGTCTAGCTTATCAATGCGTTTTTTCACTTCCTTGAGTTGCTGGTCTAGTTTTTCGTGCTCAGTATTTAGCCGTCGTTGTTCTTCCGCCTGTTGCTCAGTTTTCTCTCTTGCTTCTCGTTCGTTTTGTATACCTGCTTCTAGTTTTTCAGTGCGTTCTTTTACTTCGTTCAGTTGCTGGTTTATTTTTTCGTGCTCAGTATTTCGCTGTTGTTGTTCTTCCGTCTGTTGATCGATGAGACGTCGTATAGACTCATTTTCATTGTCGATTTGAGCAAACTTTTCGTTGTACGTTCTTTGTTGTTCTTTGATTTTATTTTCATCCATTTCTTTGTTTTGCTGAAGAGTTTCTTGGAACTTTGACATATCTTCTTTTACTTTGCGAATCTCTTCTTTCTGCGGCTCGATCTCTTGTTTCTTGATCTGATCAATCCTTTCACCATATTCTTGTTGCAAAGACGATAAGGCCATTGCTGAAAAAGTTCATAAATAAATGTTTTTGAGTCAAGACAATGTTTATCTTGTAGGTCTTGATGAGCTATGAATAACTTTAAAAGAGACTATGGTAAGAGCAATATCGTAGCTTCATGAAGAACATCAGAAAAACTAAGCTTAGAATATCAATATGAAGCTTTTTACGGAGAGAGACTGGCCTTAATAAGAGTATTCATTGTGAAAGTTTCTGATATTTTTATTTAAGGATAGAAGCAGTCAAAAGATTTTATTCTATCATAAGCATTTACACTTGTTAAGGCTTATCTCTGTCCAGATTCAGTTTCCTAATCTTCCTAAGGGAGACTACAGCATTGTGCTAAAATGATATTGTAATAATAAAATATCACGGTCTCTTTTTATAGTCGATTTAGACCTACTTGATGTTTATGGTCCCGATTCAAAAATGTGAGGGGTGGGTGTGGATATAGTATGAAAAAAATACTCTCATCACACCGACACCCACACCCTCACCCATTACTACAAGATTTTTACATTTTTTTCTGTATGAAAAAGTTTCCCACTTATTCCCAAAATAATGAACTCAATTTTATCATCAGATACCTACTTGGAACAACTATTGGCCTCCAGTGTGCCAAGTAATATTCATAGAATAGATACAGAACAATGACAACCACAATAAATTCGATAATCATGATGTTGTTAGTTGACCTATTCAATTGAAAAATCTAAAAATACTTTGAAGAATTAGAAGTTTTTTGGCAATCTTGATGGGTGAGAATGTGGA